GAACATCATCTGCCTAATAGCAAATAGCAGGCAGCTTTATCATTCTTTGCCACATAATTTTAATACTTACTTTCTTCTCAAGTCACCATTGTATATTTAAAAAAAAAAATTGATTTCATTTCACGCCTTAACTTTGTGATTATTTGCAAAGGATTTTCAACAACTATCTTGTGAAAAATATTGAATGTGACTTGTCTTGATATTATTTGAAAGGAAACAATCGCTGGGTTTTGAAGTAACTGGTAACAGTAGACATGGCGTCGAGACAGCTTAATGGGAAGAAGTGGGTTAAAACACATACAAACACACAGGAGAAGTTCTTGATAAAACCACAAAATATCAAATCCTTTTACACAAACATACATGACAGAAAGTTTAATTCAGTGATTTCAAATACGTCTCCATGGGGTGTGCTATAAAAAGATAATTGAAATGAACCATTTTTCGGTAACATCAAACTACTTCATAATGAGAGATAATGAAGTTTGTGGCGACTCATCAAACGGCAATGCTCTCAAGATCTCCTCTGTTAAATGAACAGAGAAACGAAGAAGACATTAAAATGTGTATTAGAAATATTATTCATTAAAGTCAAAAGGTTTGTCTGTGATAAAATGGGTTAGATTTCCTGATATTCCTTTTCCTTCTGAAGTTTTGCAAATTCACAGAAAGACTGATTTTAGGTAATTGCAATTTTTGTTGTGCACATGAAACAGCTATAAAGTTTCATATATAGATATACATAAGTAAATAACATTTAAGAGATGAAAGTCAGAGAAAAGGAGAAAAATAACAAAAGATCAACTCCACATAAAATTTAAATGCTTGATTTTTATATGGCCATAAAAAGATGATATTGTGTCAAGTGACAAATTTATAACCAGACTAAAAATCAGTGCAGTGAAGTCTTAAAAGTATTCACACAACAGAATGTCATTTTTATCAAGATTATATGATAAACTATACTCAGAAAAACTCAAACTTAAATGTACTGGTAGTGAGGTATGTTAAGCATGTTACGGGATTTTACATGTCTACACTTTAGAAAAGCTGCATGCATGCACTAAAAACTTCATCCTATCTTCATCTTTCAGAAATTTCATAATTTTTGAAGTCCTTAAATTTACAATTACAGCAAATATTATTATTGCTTCCTTATAATGATGAATAAAAGTACCAGTACTTATACTATGGCCATAAGATTTTAAGTTTACAAGCTAGGGCACATTTTTCTTATCACATGCTACATGTATACAATATTAATCCACACATGTTTCCACTACCTCCAGGAAATGGAGTGAAGTATCCTTAGGAAAGCATGAGCTGCCTTCACCGGGTGTCATCCTCACATCAGTAGGGGATGAGTCTATGTTTACAAACAAAAAACAGCTGACCGATGGCCCACGGAAATACCAGCTAATTATAGCAAAACTGTCACACATATATCTATAAAGAATTTTTATGCAATATTTTTCTAAAAATATTTGTGTTCTAACTAGAACTGTCCAAAGGGGACAAAATACCCCCAACTGGGTTTATCAGAAGTAAGTTTTTCCATAAGAAAGATATGGACCGGACACGAATTATGAAATTTTTCTTCCAGTGACCTTGAACTTCCCCAAATGACCTTGGGTCAAGGTCATGACACACCCTTGGGTCATGGGCAATCTTTGTGTGAAATGACAACCTACCAAGTTTATCCATAGGAAAGATATGGACTGGACACAAATTATGAATTTTTTCTTCCAGTGACCTTGAACTTCCCCAAATGACCTTGGGTCAAGGTCATGACACACCCTTGGGTCATGGGCAATCTTTGTGTGAAATGACAACCTACCAAGTTTATCCATAGGAAAGATATGGACTGGACAGGAATTATGAATTTTTTCTTCCAGTGACCTTGAACTCCCCCAAATGACCTCGGGTCAAGGTCATGACACACCCTTGGGTCATGGGCAATCTTTGTGCGAAATGAGAACCTACCAAGTTTATCCATAAGAAAGATGTGGACCAGACACAAATTATGAATTTTACTTCCAATGACCTTGAACTTCCCCAAATGACCTTGGGTCAAGGTCATGACACACCCTTGGGTCATGGGCAATCTTTGTGCGAAATGAGAACCTACCAAGTTTATCCATAAGAAAGATATGGACCGGACACGAATGATGAAATTCTTCTTCCAGTGATCTTGAACTTCCCCAAATGACCTTGGGTCAAGGTCATGACACATCCTTGGGTCATGTGCAATCTTTGTGTGAAATGAGAACCTACCAAGTTTATTCATAAGAAAGATATGGACCGGACAGTAATTATGAATTTTTTCTTCCAGTGACCTTGAACTTCCCCAAATGACCTTAGGTCAAGGTCATGACACACCCTTAGGTCATGGGCAATCTTTGTGTGGAGTAGTAGATTCTAATGTCCCTCTGTAAGAAAGATATGGACCAGACACGATTGCACAGACAGACGGACAGACGGACAAGGTGATTCTAATATACCCCCCCAAACTTCGTTTGCGGGGGGTATAATAAATCCGAATGAATTGTTATGAAACTTTAACAAACATTTTATTGAAAATTTATTATCTTACAAAAAAATATAATTCTTGAGGTTAATGATTTTTAAAGTCCATTTAATCCTTCTTTAAAAAGAGAAGAGGAGATAGGATATATTTCTATTTTGAGACTGTAACTTAGACACCTAGTCTGAACCATTAGCTCCTCTAATGAAGCATTTCTTGACAAAAGACAGTACCCATACAAGCCCATGGTGTTTTGTAATTTGAACAATCTAGCCCGAGATCTAATTTTTTGTCTGAGCCTTATGTTTTGACTGTATGGCTCCCCTATATGTGAGCATTGAACTGTTATCAACCCTTGTGTCAATCAGCCCTCACTGGCATCTACCGATAAAAACTCATGTTTGAAAATTAGTTCCATTTAGTAGGCTGAAAGAATATCAAAAGAGATGTACACTTAGTGCACTTAAAGAGTTGACAGTTTTCTTCATTAGAAACAATTTAGGATTTTTAGCCAACTGTAAACAACCACTAAAGTTTCTGGTCACAGTTTGCCAAAATAAGAAGCTGGCTATTTTCAGCGCTGCCAGTGCTGATTACTGATATTACATGAAGTTGTTATGTTCAGTTCCAATATAAATGTTGCAAAAGCATGTCTCACATGGTGTATTTACACGGGGTAATACACAGATAAAATTACACGGTCCTGGCCTTCAATGACCCCTCATGACATCATCCGCCCTCCCGAAAAATTGACAGCTTATGTTGACACATAGTGTTCATTATGTGATCACCAAGTGCAAATGAAAAAAAAAATTGGCACAGTTTCTTGTAAGGCTCCTAACCTTCACATCAGAGATCAGCTGTTTTGTTTTCTTTAAGTTAATTATTATGATCTCTGTCCCAGTTCCTTCTCAATAAGAAGCAAAGTATATCAGAAGGGGATATTACTTCCCCTTAAAAAATCATGAGTGTCATTCTGTCCTATATTGAAATATATCTGGGTTATTTCACAGTTTTCTATCTCATAATACTAACAGAGGGCTTGTTGCTGTATAACTGGTCTATTTTTATACTTCTCAGGTACGTAAAAATACTAATGTTATTCCGGCAGTTGCACTTTTAATCAGTGTTTACGTTGTTCTTCTACGATAAGTTGTGTATTACCTAAATAAAAATACTGTGTTTTTCCCCACCCAAATGGAGCACTAAGTCCCAAAATAAGTTACCTGAGTAATATAATAATAATAAAAAGAACTTAACATTTAATTGGTTTTAGGAAGTAAAATGACTGGTCTTTTCCATATCTTAGCCCACTTATGATTTTTTTTATTACGTACTGCATGAAAGGTGTAATTGAAGGACAAATATGAGGTTGTAAACAATGCAACAACTACCTGTGGTGTAAATATAATCTCAGTTTTAGGGACTCAAACACCCACCCGATCTGTACGTCAAACTAATACATGTCAGGCTAATAAGTACATATATACCAATAAAACAATTATTTCTATTGGTCGACTGATAATTAAGAAAGATGATTACACATGACCTAAATCTTAATTGTTTTGTATAGATTAAATTTTTTTTTCTCTCATTATGCAATTTAGATTCTGAAGTCAAAAGTCTTATAAATGTCATTTTAATTATTACAAAATGCTTTAAGTTAATCATTTCAGCATTTCTCTTCTTTATCAAACGTATCCTAAAATAAAAGAAATTATGAAATACACAGGCTTTTGAAATGTCAATACCCTTTCGTACTATGAATCAGATGTCATCAGAGAATCGTGTTAATTATAGGTTTTTATGTTCATTTGACCGTTATTGGAGCAGATTATATGACACAAGCCTTAAAAGACGCAAAAGAAGAAAACTCCCAATAAACAACAATAAATTTTACTGTATCGAGCAACAAAACTGAAAATAGCAATCGGATCGATACAAACACCATTCCTCATCAATTAGGACATGTGTACTTTAAAATAACGAACCATTAGCAACTTAAAAAATTGCTATACTGTGCATGGATGCCTACTAATGAAATTGACATAATATTTTTTGATTTTCCTATGTGAATTACAAGCCTTTGATGAAAAATAAAATACTGTCTGAAAAGTTAAAAGGAAAGAGAAAATAAACATGAATGATGGGACAGATATTGTTCTCAATCAGAGCATTAATCAATATTAAGTACAATGTTTCATAAAGAGAGATAATTAGAGTGTTTTAAAAAAAGTTAAAGTGCACCCAGACAGTAAAAATAGTTACGTGGATGATGACAATCTTTATTATAGAAAATAAAATTATTTTTATTTGATTTTGATATAAAAATCCATCTTTAAAGCCTTCTTGTATACTGTGATATGAAGTGCTTAGGGTACAGGGGGTATATCATTTTATCCCTTATATTGTAAGAGTCCATAAGTCATATCATAATGTTGAAATATGACAATCTAGTATCAGAATAGTCTCTACTAATGATCTACAACCATCGGACAACCTTTTTGTCTTCTATGTCAGGGCAAAGCGGATAAAATTAATTTCAACAGCCATTAATTTGCCGTTTTCTTTGGTGTGTACCTGGATGCCTATGGACATATATGTTCTCACCTGTGTGGCCTCGTTTGTTGGGGATGGTCAGGTGGGGTGCTCAGCTCACGGAAAGCTTTTTATCATCCAAGCTGTTACTGTGGTCACATCTGTTAACATAACCCAATAAAATCAACCTTAAAATATGTAAATAGCATGTGGCAGATGGGTATGTGTAAATAAACCTATGATAAACATCCCCGAGTGAAAAAGAATCCGGAGGAAGGTAGAAAGAAAGACAAGATAAAAGGAAAGGTGCAGGAATGAGTTGAATGTATTACTAATACCTACATTTAATACACTCTTAAAGATATTATTACATAAACATGCTGGTGTTAAAAAGATTTACTTTACACCGATTATTTACCTCATAATTATGTCTTTTTATAACTTGAACTTAAAAACCTTTTTTCATTTTTTTTGGCTTCTAGCACTAACTATCACTACAAAGTGAAGCACTGGTTGGATAAGAGGAAGAAGTATTATGACTCTTGATTGAGTTTCAGTACTCAAAACCACAGGAGAAGCATTACAAATGAGGTATATAGGTAAATCAGTACTCTCCACACATAAATAAAAGCACTGAAGTAAAAGCAAATAACAAAAAGAATTGGGTACGTATAATTAGAAGTGGTTTTTAAATCATCGGAGTTTCTCACCCACTTTGCGTTATCTGTGTATTGAATGCGGGTGCTTTTTCCGAAATACCAAGAGCACTGTAACAGTACATACCAGTCACTGTGCCACCTGGTGGACACTTTCCAGAAACACCGAGCGAACACTTCCCCGATTAGGATCTAATATTTCCTTGTATTTGGGAGATGACAATTCTAGTCAGGACATGAGACCACTTCATCTCTTCATCAACCTCTGATTCACTCAATTTTGGGGATTTTTTGACAATGCAATGTTCCAAAGCGATCAAAAATGTCACAAGTATCCAATTCCCTACTTTTCATATTGTTATAAAAATATTCTTGGAACAGAGATTAGATCAGCATTTGTTAACACATTTGAAGTGTTATAAGTGAATTTATTTTAATCTTGAAATTGTCTTTATTGCTTGAAATTGTCTTGATGAGAAACTGTGCCATGGGAATGCAATTGCAAAGAACCAATGCTTCCTTAATCAGAAAATGAAATGAAAACATGAACATACAGCATTCACATGATGGTCAAACTTAGATTGACACCTATGTCAGTCTTCTGTAATGTTCATGATTGAGCTTTTCAAAGTTCTTCTTTGATACTTTATTTAGCAACACTTTTAACTCTATTTTAACAAGTGCAACTGACCATTAACAAATCTACTTTACGACACTTCTGAGATCAAAGAAAAAGACCATCTCAAACACTGATGTCTTGAATACCATAGATAGATCAAATTGATTTGAAAGTCCCAACTACTTCCTCTAGGAATTTCTTCCTCAATATCTTGAATCATTTGATTTCAAATTTTTTTCTTGGTCCCATCAATTTCAAAATGAGCTTAAACTGTACATTATTTATGACAATTAGCTGCAGTAAAAACCAAATTTTCCCAAGGAACTTAGAAGAAACAAAATTCCTTTAAGTTATTCAATAGGACCATTTCATTATTTTCAGTTCCAGTTTTCCATTACTTCCCTTTACCCTATAACCCCTCATGAATTACATGGGTGTCTGAAAATTTGAAAGACAAGGAAATTTTTCCTTTGAGATCAGATTCTCCACCTATTTTACATCCACAGAGAAATTATGGTATGTCTTCCTTGTTCTTCTTTTATTCTGTCCAAATAATGTGTCACAGACAAAACTAAAACGTAGTAATGTTATGGCATTTCAATATATTGATGTCATTTACTTAGTTTTGTAGAGACAAATTATACTGGAAATGGGACTATTCTGAAATCTTAAAGGTTACTAGCTTGTAGGACACTATTTCTCATCGATCTCAGAGGATGAAAGTTCAAATCCCAAAATGGGGAAACCCTTGCCAAACTAGTTCATCACCAGCATTTTTTTTTAAATTTAGGTATTGTATAAAAGTGGTACCGTAATTTCGGGAATATAGGTCGATACTTTTTTTCTCAGAACCGCTGGGGTTGACCAATATTCAGAATTCGACCTATTTAAGGCTCAAGTTTACGAAAAATGCCCCCAAATCAGTAAAATTTACGCCAATTTCAAAGCAAATCTGTGCCACTTTCGTAACTTTTTTGATTATTTTCGCAAAAAAATTAATGCTCCAGTAAACAATAAAATATTTATTCTATAGCTTTCTTACAAAATAAGTTCCATTAATTATCTGTTGATGACAAAGGAAAACAACGTTGCTATATCTATTAAATAATTCCTCAACGTATTATCCATTAACATCATGCGGTATCCATCTTGTGAAGTTAGGAAGTCGCGATCGTGTACTAAAAGTAAAACCGCAACCGTATCAAAATTTAAAATACGGAAAATTTTCAAGATCACAACTGTTGTGTTTTTACCATTTATTAGTAGCGATAAATTGAAATAGTATATCAAATATTTTTTATTGTCTTATGTTTATTTAAATGTAAAACGAGTGAAATAATCAATTCAATTCCTAAATTTAATTAAAAAAAAAAAGTCATTACTGTTTTTTTTTTTTTTTTAATATTAATTAATTACAGATTGGCTTCTAACAGAATTTTAATTGTCTGACAGATAAAGGGATTTACCGTACACTGTGTACGCAAAGGTGTTTAACACCTGTGTTCACTGTTGGTTTAAATGCCTGCGGGGCATGATTAAGAAACCCACGTGCCATTATAGGGTATTAGTGTTACACATCATTGAACAAACAATGTCGTGAAATTCATGTTGAAAGTCAAATTGTGAATGTATTCTCAATTAAAATTTATAAATTAAACTTATAGAGTGTTAATATGATTTCAATTCTTTACTGTTGCTTGATATATACATTCAATGGTCATTTGCGTGTTTTAGCAAATCCCTGGAGAAGAAAAATAAAAATGGCGGACATCGAAGTAATTGTCGTCCACCGGTAAATAATGTTTGAGTAAAATTTATTAGGAATGTGTCCAAGTTGTTCTGAAATCGGAATTACTATTCTTTGGTCTCGGGTATCTCCCGATTTACAGCTGTAAAATAATAACGTATTTACGTGTTATTTATGCCTCTGATTTAACAACAGTGTGAAACTACGGAGGTATTGAACAGGCAAGTTGGAGAAAAATAAGTAGTTACACAATTCAAAGAAGTTTTAACTACATTTTTTTACAAAACAGTATTTAATTGCTGTACTCATTAAAATACCTGTTTATTTTCTTGATACGTTCATGTCACGGAATAACCCCGATAATTTTAGGGGTTTACCTGTTCTGATACGTTGTATCTGCGTTAAAATCTTAAGAAAACGGGAAACAAAGCCTCGTCCTATATAGTAAGTTCGACCTATCTTAGGATTTTTCAAAATTTAAGGCTGAAAATGGTCGACCTATATACCCCATCGACCTATATTCCCGAAATTACGGTAATTTCTTTTACTTGTGTCAATATCTTACGTAATAAAGCCAACATTTATCCTAATTAACTGCCTTTGTGTCATTTTTTTAATAATCTGCATTTAAGGAATTAGAAATTGGATATCAAGCTATGCCCTGCAAATGACTTGAAAGCCTATAGTCCATATGCCAGTGTTACAAGATATGGCTGTTTATGTTTGATTGGCAGGTAAAGTGACAGGTATTTAGTGTATTGGGAAGATGTATGTATCCTTTGCTAATAACTGGTCACCTTAGTCCCTTCCTTAGGCCAAATGTCTTTGCCAACAGAAAACACAATTAGACTGGACAGCTCAGAAATAGAAAATGATTGATTCATTAGCGATCTGAACATCAATGAGTTAGCCGACACTCTCTGCAGCCTGTGACCTTATTTAACCCCTGAAGGCATTTTACTGCTCTGGCCAAATTGCCAATAATAACATACATTTGGTCAAAATCGAGAAAAATGTACCCTAGTTCTCATTGTATGTGTGTTGAGTAAGGACATAGGTCTTGCAAAATCTAGAAATCAAAATATTATTTGAAAAAATCAAGGGAAGTGAAATAAGTGAACTTGTGTATTAAAGGAGAAAAAAAATGAATTTTCTTAAAGATTAAATTAAGATAACTAAATAAATCATACATATCTTGTTTTTTAACCAGTCTTTTTGCCTAAGGCCTCCACATGTAAATGTATGGAAAAAGACAAATGGATAGGTATACATAGAATAAAACATGTCATATTCCCCGAAGGTGAAGTTTACCTATATACTTTGGATTCTGTCAGATTTAATCAGTCTTATTACTCTACATTATAATGATGAATCTTCATTAGCAATTATCACAAGACACTCAGTACACAATTGATTTAATTTATTTTTTCATCCTTACCTCATGATAACACTGGCTATTTTAAGACCAGGAGAAGAAAAACTGATATAATTTTCTATTGTAAATTACTTCTAAGTGACGTAGTTTCTTAGCTATGAAGTTGACCTTTTTTTTTTTTTCATCATTAATACACTGGGAAGTTAATACCTAAAGAAATGTACCTAGTAATCATAAGAAAACTGATATCAAATGGCACTGAAAAACCTTGCATGGATTTTTGTCACAAAAGTAAAACAGTACAAGACCAATGATGTCAGCTAATGGTGATACACAGGTCCTGTAGAGAGCCATACCCTCCAAAATTTTACAACTTGCTTGCTTTTTAATGCTTCATGAAGCTGTTCATTATCATGTATGGTTCCTACCCTCAATTCCTTAACACACTTTTTATATATATCTGTGCATATTTTTTCCTAAAGGGGATCAATTCATAATTAACTTGACTTTCACTAACACTTATAAGCAAACAAAGTACCGGTATTAAACATGCCCATTTTTGCAGATAAACTTAGTAGTCATGGACCATATCATGACTTTGCTGCTTTTGAAAAAGATTTCAAATTGAAAGATTACTTCCCATAGCATTGCCTATTGTGCCCCCTCACTCCTTCCAAAGGAGTTATGTTTTGAACAAACTTGAATCTACACTATTTTATTTAGGTGGTGGAAGTCTTGACTACAATGTTTTTTGCTAAAAATTCTATGGTATATATTCAAAAAAGTGACATGGAAACCAGAAACAAAACAGTTATAATATGATTTCTGTAATTTGTTTGTTTTCAATTGCCATGGCAATGCTTTTATCATTTTCAAATCCATTAAATACTCCACCTTTAAATACAGTGTATATGAGAAGATATATTTGTTTTTTATTGACTGTTAAAGTTAAGATACCTTAGATATATCATAACACAGGCTTCTTGTCTTGACAAGCTTCTGTTGATCTGAGGCAGTATGGGTGAATACACAAACAACTCCATGTAGTTTGATCTTCAAACCACATATTTTTGGGCCAGACACTAAAATTAAACAAAAAGAAAAATTAACACGCATAATTGCACCAGCTACATGTACATGCACCTGCTAGATTTCAAGGATATATAAAGAACTTAGAGCCAAGTTTTGCATTACACTGATTTAACAGTTTTTATTCTGGTTACACACAACATGTAAAGTTATTGTAAGATGGAAGAAGATTCATATTAAACACTCAAAAAACAATTCAAATGTTTGCAGCACTCTCACCTAAATCCATTCATCTAAAGAAAAGCACTTAGATGCTTTGTCTAAGCAATGTCTGTCTGTTAGTATCTAAAGAGAACAAAATCTAATACTGCTGTTTTGGATTTTCTTTTCCACTGAAATTGGTCCTCATTGCCTTCCACTGAGGTTCTTTCCTTGATCACACCTCTATGCAGTGAAATGGGACCTCAGTAATCATACTGCAATGCCCTGTAATGCCCGTTATGAGCAACACCCTTCAATGTCATTAAATGATGCTAAAAATTTTGATGCAGTGTAATAGTATAAAGGCAAAACACAAAATTTGAACTAGAACTGTCCAAACGGGACAAAATACCCCCCGCCGGGTTTTTCAGAAGTAAGTTTTTCCATAATAAAGATATGTATCACACATGAATTATGAAATTTTTCTTCCAGTGACCTTGAAGTTCCCCAAATGACCTTGGGTCAAGGTCATGACACACCCTTGGGTCATGGGCAATCTTTGGGTGAAATGAGAACCTACCAAGTTTATCAATAAGAAAGATATGGACTGGATATGAATTATGAACTTTTTCTTCCAGTGACCTTGAACTTCCCCAAATTACCTTGAATCAAGGTCATGACAAACCCTTGGGTCATATGCAATCTTTGTGTAGAATGAGAACCTACCAAGTTCATCCATAAGAAAGATATGGACCGGACACAAATTATGAATTTTATTTCCAGTGTCCTTGAACTTCTCCAAATGACCTTGGGTCAAGGTCATGACACACCCTTAGGTCATGGGCAATCTTTGGGTGAAATGAGAACCTACCAAGTTTATCCATAAGAAAGATATGGACCGGACACGAATTATGAACTTTTTCTTCCAGTGACCTTGAACTTCCCCAAATTACCTTGAATCAAGGTCATGACATACCCTTGGGTCATGGGCAATCTTTGTGTAGAATGAGAACCTACCAAGTTTATCCAGAAGAAAGATATGGACCGGACACAAATTATGAATTTAACTTCCAGTGACCTTGAACTTCTCCAAATGACCTTGGGTCAAGGTCATGACACACCCTTAGGTCTTGCAATCTTTGGGTGAAATGAGAACCTACCAAGTTTATCCGTAAGAAAGATATGGACCGGACACGAATTATGAACTTTTTCTTCCAGTGACCTTGAACTTCCCCAAATGACCTTGGGTCAAGGTCATGACACACCCCTGGGTCATGGGCAATCTTTGCATGAAATGAGAACCTACCAAGTTTATCCATAAAAAAGATGTAGACCGGACACGAATTATGAACTTTTTCTTCCAGTGACCTTGAAGTTCCCCAAATGACCTTGGGTCAAGGTCATGACACACCCTTAAGTCATGGGCAATCTTTGTGTGGAGTAGTAGATTCTAATGTCCCTCCGTAAGAAAGATATGGACCGGACACGTTTGCACAGACAGACGGACAGACAGACGGACGGACAAGGTGATTCCTATATACCCCCCAAACTTTGTTTGCGGGGGGTATAAAAATTGAGCAATTGAATAGCATTTATCAATGTATATCATCATATGCAGCTTGATAAAAATATTTGGAATATCTTCTTTGGAACTAAGCAAACGCAAAGTGTAACGGACATACAGACACACAGACAGAAGAAAAGAAGATCTAAAGACTTAAACAAGACATACACTACATGTTCGGTCCATACACCGCAATCAAGACGGAAGAAAAAAAACCTTGCAAAATGATATGCATTACTTAAATATCTATTTAGAAAGATAGTTCTGGGAATTACATCAGGTAGTGGTAAAATGTATCAATTATACCGCAATCTAACTAAAAGCAATTTGTATTGTTAATCATTTGTATAGAGGACAGCAACATTAAGGGAATTTATGGTAAATTGAAGCATACTTCCATTACAAAATACTATGTAACGGGATAAAAAACAATCGTTGAAAGTTCAGAAATCTTTATGTGCCACAACATGTGAACTAGGTGTATATACTTGTAATGTGAGTTGATCACAGCCTAATTTGTCTACACAATAATATGGTGTGTTATGAATACACATTTATCAAAAATAACGTGTCTCGACAAATCAAAATAATCACCAGTCTACCTTGATAAGTGACACAGAGAATAAATCACAGAGCTATACCTACAATATCTACGTGAATTAATTTGATTCTGGTGACATCAGCAAAGCTGTTAGCATGGTAACTACAAGGCCATTATTTCTAAAAAAGATTATAATTTGCCCAGGCAACTCGAACCTTTTCCTATACTTATTTGGTTTTTATTCCCTGATGAAGAGATAGACCTATTTTTTGATCATTTTGGTTTCTGAACAATCTGAACTTTAGCTGTCAGGGTTTTCACCTTAAACGAGCATATGACGTATCTGATGTTTTTCCGCTTCTTTCACGAATTATGTAAATGAAATCTGCCAAATACATATTCTATATAATAATTTCTCGACTGAAGGTCAGACAAATGATATAATTACTGCTGAAAAGAACTCAAAAGGATTTTGGTCTATTAGGCCATATGTACTTCTCAGCTTTTAATATCTGATTAAACTTCTGAAATAAAATCAGCCCTGCCATAGAGAGCCTGGCACTATTGCTTTGTAAGTAGGTGGTATATCTGAACCCTTAATGTATTTCTATATTACTTGTATGATATTGTACTAGCTTGATTGCACTTTTCCAATGATAATTTTAAACTTTTTCTACATTTTTTAAAAAAAGGTTAAACTTGTTTTTTAAAATAAAAACATTTTTGCTTTGTTTTGTATAAAAGATGAGCAACAATATCATTTGAAAATCAATGCCTATTGGGTTTTTGAATAAATTAATCTCATACATTAATGAAAGGGCCAGCTCACTTTTTTTTTAAATTGGCTATTGGGCCAAATGTTAAAATTGTGAAATTCTATGATAATCGTTATAAATTGAAATCTTCATTTACATAGCGAGTTTCAACTAAAAGTCTGTTTTGTAATAAAGAGATATACCAATAACAAGTTTATTCATTATATATGTTTAGAACTTTATGTGTGTGTGTGTGTGTGTGTGTGTGTGTGGGGGGGGGGTTACATAAAATTGAGTCCTATATAAAAGCTTTAATAAGTCACACTAGCATTACTGTAATCCCCATTTTATTTTAAATCTTTATCAATATTCTTGGGGCAACTTCATAAGAATCTGCAATGCCATCACCTCATTCATCGCTTTTGTTGTTTCTTCTCATTTCAAGGCTCTTCAGTTCAATTCAGGAAATCATGTACATATACCAAAGCTATGAAGCTCAATTAGCAAATATATTTTGTGAGAATGCACACTGTCACGCAGATAAAGATAGTGATCGAAGATACTTCAATACACCTACTTGATTAGACCTTATTTTATTGTCTTCCTCAGTGTATAAAAGAAATTTTCTGTGGAATCATCTATACTGGGACAAATTTAGAATACCAGTGTGATTCATATGTACCACATATTGCTCAATTATAGCAGACATATTATAGGGCAATGCACTAAAGGACTTCAGGTGTAATGGTTATATGCACATCATACAATCTGGGATAAGTAACATTCATTTTTAATGTTTTGTTGAGAGATAGGTAGAGGGATTTTTCTACCCTAATCCAAGTGTCAACATTTTTGTTCCCTTCTCTGGGTCTAAACTGTCAAATGTATCAAGTGTAAAGTATGTGATATACAAATAAGACCATTAATTTTCTGGCCTGTCATTGCAGACTTCCTGTGTGTCAGACAGTGGTCTCTTAAAGCTGGACAGTACATTAGAGAGAGTCCTCCCAAGGCATCCTTTCAAATTAATAGGACTACCATCCCCTCGAGAGACCAGAGGTATGGGGTCCAATGTCCAGATCAATATGACCCGTGGACACCCACAAGGTTACAAAAGCCGACACACAATCAAGAGTTTCTCTGGGGGTGTAAAGGTTCTTTTCTGTACAAAGTTACAAGAATAGGTAAATCAGCCTTATAACAATCTTATCAGGAATCCCAATCAAGAGTCTGAAGGGATCAGTCAAAATACCTTCCAAAAGGCTTTGCTGTTTCATCTATTTTTGTCTGAGGTGTGTGAAAACTGCCTGCTGTTCTTCTAAATGGTTTGGACACCACTAGGGGGGTTTCATTGTCACTGTGACATAAGGCCAGGGCTGGGCACTTTAATTTCCTGAGCCATTAGGACATCAATTTCACATTTAGTCAACTCATCAAATTTAATGCCAACATATGGGTGATTAAGACTCAAAAGAACTTATACACTTAACTATGTTTTTCTTTCCAGCTGTATTTTACAAGAACCATTTTCTCTTAGGATAAAAAATCCTATTACAAAGATCATTAGACTCAAAAATCAAGAAGGCATTTTTTTTATTTGTCAGAAATAATGGTTTTAAAAAATAAATGAATAAAAAAAAAATCTTGAAATTCAGGAATCCTTTAGGACAAACAGATAATTTCAAGGTGTCATCTGAAAATTTTCTCTGATAATATATCAAATTCCTTCACCACCTTGATATTCACAAGTCTATCACCCCTTGTAATATTAAATTTCTATTTTAATAAACACTTAAAAGCACAAAGGAAGTGTCTTATTTTTGTGAAAAAGTGTGCTGGCATCAAATTTTCAAATTTTTTCAGCAGTCCTGATAACAGATTTCCTCTGCTATTATACAATAATCTCATTAAGACTCCAATAACCTCTTTTTATTGGTCTAGGCATTAACAGTTATTTGTCATGATTTCACAGTTACTGGATTATAGTCAGCA